TTTTTTTTTTTAATTGTGAGAAATGATGAAGAAATGTTGTCTGAGAGCCTCTCAGTGGTGACACATCCTGATAATTAGTGCGTTTGTTTGCCAGGCTTTAGACGTGTGGGCGATGGGAGTCACACTCTACTGTTTTGTCTTTGGGATGGTAAGCAAGATGCAATCACAGCAAACATCCGGTGCAAGATTTAATTTCAACGTTTTAATCATTTCACTTTGCTTGTCCTGCTTTAGTGCCCTTTTTATGATGAGTACATCGTTTCTCTGCACAACAAGATCAAGAACAAACCTGTGGAGTTTCCAGAGACGTGAGCAAACAGCAGGAAACATTTAGATAGAAAACAGAGCTCACATTTATGTACCTGTAATAAAGTTACCAGGATGGGTTGAAAACATCTTCATAGATTCAAAGACCGTCGTTCTCTAGAGGGCAGATGTCAACATCTGGACTTCATAGTTCTTAACAACTTGTGCTTTTCTGTTTTGGACGAACATCAGGAAACTGAATATGTTTAAAATATGATTTCATGCTAGTTAGAGTAGCCACCTATGGTTTCACATTCACACCATGTGCTACCATAGTTAAGCTTAAAACATATTTATTGTTTTCTGAGGTTCACGCTGCCTCTTCTTTAACAGGCCATTGATAAGTGAAGAACTGAAGGAGCTGATTGAAAGGATGTTGGATAAAAACCCTGAAACAAGAATCACCATCCCTGAAATCAAGGCGAGCATGAGACTGCTACTGCATCCAAACACTACAGAAACGCCGCCGACGCCACACTTTCATTCACTGAACGTGTTTTTAATGTTGCTGCAGCTCCATCCGTGGGTGACGGAGAACGGCTCCAGTCCTCTTCCTCTGGAGGAGGAGCACTGCACGGCGGTGGAGGTCACTGAGGAGGAGGTGAAGAACAGCATCAAACGCATCCCCAGCCTTTCCGCTGTGGTGAGTCGCACACGTCTCATCTGCTTCGTAAAACTCACATTTACATCTCTGATCTGACTGTTTGAAGGCTTTTCTTAAAACACAGGTTGTTATTGCTGTCATACCTTAGTTATCTTTACCTTTATCTCACAAATTGGGCTCAAATTAGCATTCACATCTCGACCACTTACATTTTTATGAGGTTTGCTTTTGAATCTCAAGGTAATACTTCATAGAAGACATAAGAGCATCTACTGGAGGTGATTGGTGTCTCATTTCAGAAAGAAGGCTTTTGGTCAGTCTGCTGTCTCAGTTAAAGCAATGAAAAAGGGGCATTCCATCCCTACAAACATTCAAGATTCAGCTCAGCAGTGTTTAAAACCAGCCTCCAGGTTTGGGTGAAGTCAGTACAAAGTTATCACCACCAATGATTACCTTGCATTCATTGTTTTTACAAATTTTATTTGTCTCACACTGATGAGCTTGCATTGTTTTATGTCTTGTATTTATTGGTCTTTCTGATTTATTCATTTATTTTTTCATGCTGCATTCAAAATTGTAGATTTGTAATATTTATATGAGGAGAGATGGTGGAAACTGTGAAGATTAGCTGCTCAAAGGTTACCAGAGAGTGAAATAAATTAGAATTTTAATGATTTAATACATTAAAAAGTGCCCTTTTTCTCAATGTCTGAGCTGTTTAGATGCAAATGTTCTGTACTTTCTCTGTCCGCTGCAGATCCTGGTGAAGTCCATGCTGAGGAAGCGCTCCTTCAGTAATCCCTTTGAGTGTCAGGGCCGGCGGGCCGAGAGGTCCATGTCTGCCCCTGGAGGTCTCCTTACGTAAGTAGCCGACTCTGCAAATCCCATCTGCGCCGCTCTGCCAAACTGCCAGCTCTGCGATTAGGCCTCTAACACAACAAAGCAGCGAGCAGATGCTTGGATAAAAATAGCTCATATGTAGTGTTTCTCTCGCACATTAGGCAGCACACCAGCAGATCCGAACTGTTAATCTTTGACTAACTCGTACACTTTATTTGCTGTGTTTTGGTCCTTAAATTAGTTGCACACTCAGGCAGATAAAAGCATTTGTCCTCTCCTGATAAGCTAAATGGAAGCCCCAGCGGCAGCAGTAATGGCTGCACTGCTTTTGTTTTCCATTAACGAGCCAGTCCTGTCTGTGGGGGGGCTCAGCTAATTACACCTCCCTGTGAAGAGACGTGGAGCTGCAGCTTCATCCTCCTCCTCCTCCTCCTCCTCCACACTCATCCAGCCACCAGCAGCACACGACGCTGTGACTCCCACTCAGGGAAACATGTGGAGGCCTTCTGAATCATGTGATGAGTAAATGGTGAAATCCTCCCAAACTGGGTGTGTTAAATCTTCTTTTCAGTGCTCCGAGGATGAAATTAAAGCTATAAATATTAGAGAAGGTGTAGATTGGTGCTTCAGCTGGCTTTAAGAAGATCAAAACTTTCATATTGATCTTCTTGGAGGGATGATGTTTGTGGCATGGTGTTCCAGTTTACACTTCTTTGGAGGCCGTTGTGATACTTAAAATATAAATAAATAAGTAATTATGAAATGTATATTTGTCAAAAAAAAGAACCAACACACATTGTACATAAGAGATATTAAATTGAATTTATAACAATAAGTATAAGTTTATATCGACAACAAGCCTTCATTTTCATGAAATGCGGACAGAGAAATTTCAAAGTGAGACCTGAAATGAACTTTGTTGCTGTGAAAACAACAGGGACTAAACAGCAATTAAAATATGAAGCAAACTATTTCACAACTTCACATTTGTTTATTTATATAATTATTTATTTCATAATATCTTTTATTACAACATAACTAAAATAAGCTAATCATCCACACAGGCGTACCAAAATAAAAACGATGAAGCTTAGAGGAGTTGACAGATGGGAAAGAGCTTACACAGATTCTCGCAGAGAGCTGGATGAGAGAATTGATGTCAAGCTACAGCCAGCAGTAGGCTAGCCTAGCTTAGCTTAGCATAAATAGACAGGATAAACAGCTGGTATCGCTCCATCCCAAGGACACGAAATCTAGATGTCAGTGCCTCTAAGGCTCACAAATTAAAGGTGGAGTAAGCGATTCTAATCCAATACACTCCAACTTCTTTTAGACATGCACTCGTTTCCCTGAATCCAACAGCAGCTTAACATCTGAATGAACAGCCTGCTCACTTTTCCACAAAAGCTGTGACAGAAATCTTCACTAGGTCAGGCCACGTATCATTTCAAGTAATGTGCTTCAGGTTGTCTGAATCGATTTAGGAAAAACATCCCTGATGCACAGTTATTGTCTTGAGTGAGATCAAAATAAAAACTAAGAGATTACAAAGACTCATCCATAATAGATGCAATCCAGATTTTGCTAAAATGTTAACAGGAGCGGAATTTCTGTTTGTTGCTTCCAGCTGTTTGTAGGAATCTTCCCTCTGAGTTTATTAAATATGTGTCGCATCAAACAGCAGCAGAATCCAACTGAGCGTCTCCAAAGTCAGAGAGTTGCTCTCGTTTATGCTTGTGCAACAACAGCAGCAACTTCACAAGCTACTTATAATTAGAATTTATCCCCGACATGGAGACAGGATTGATCAGGATCTGTGTACTTTCCTTTACATTAGACACAGTCACAGTTGTTGCACAGATTAAACTAATGTAATGTAGCTTTAAATGAAGCAATCAGTCACGCTATGCTAAGCTAATTGGCTGTTAATTTTGTCATCTAACTCACAAACAAAAAGCGTATAAGCCTATTTCTAAAATGTCGGCCTTTAACCTGCTACAACGACATCTGTGTTCATCTTAAACTGTGCTCGAAGCTAACAGAGTTTAAATCCTGGCCTCTCATATCACATCTCCTTCTTGCAGCGGTTCTTGGGGCTTACTGGGGTCTTCGCCACTGCCTCATCCTTCCTTGAGGTAAACCTTTAACAAGCACTCAGGTTGAGCTCATATGCTTCATACTTAGTCGCAGCTCATCACTTATTTGTCGAACCTTAAGAGGATTTACAAGACGGAACAAAGCTTTGTGCATTGAGCCGCGCCTAAAATAAGACGACACACATGCATGCTGATGTGTGCTTTGTGTTGGCTTCCCTGTCTCTCGTGTCCTCTTGAGGTTGATGTGGATGAAAAGTGATGAGCTGTGCTGTGAAGGACACTTGGACATTTTTAGTCTAGTGTTACCCCTCCTCCTCCTCCTCCTCCTCATCTGCAATCTCACTTAGTACCTTCAACAACATGATCGAGTGTTTGTCGCCCACAGGAAAGTCAGCAACGAGGGGAGCAGAGAAGGAGAGTTGGAGGACTTGTATGAAGATGAACCTTTTACAGAGTGCACTGATTAAACCGACCCTTTCAGACAGATTAAAAAAAAAAAAAAGCAGAGAGAGTGTGTAGAAAAGTATGTTTTTGTACCTTTCTTTATGTCTTTTTCTCTCCTAATTTTGCTTTTGCTTCATGCTTTCTGTGCTCACATGCTGCTCTCACTGTAGTGCAAAAGGTCTTTAATGACTCTGTGATTTACCAGATATTAAGAGTATAGATTTGTAGTGCTTTAATTACACAATGATCACACGTTTGATCAGATTTCCTTCTGTCCACAGGTAACGTCAGCATTTTTTGATGGTATACGGCATTAATGTAAAGCGAATTATTCACCTAAAAATGTAAATATGCTCCATAAAGAAGATATTTTTACATTTTCCTACAGCTGTTGAAGATAATAAAAGTTCTGTTTAAACAATGACTTTGAATAATGTTGTGTGTGTAAATAAAACTGCTACGACATGCAGCACTTATGTTGAAACACTAGATGGCAGCATTCTAATAACTTGTCTCATATCATCTTTCATTGCCTCGATATTACTTGAAACAGTTATCCTGCTTGTTTTCTGGACTCGTTCTGGCATTTCACCAGCAATAGTATTTAAAATGTTGTTTTAATCAACGTACATATGCACGGTCAGGCTCATTTTAAAGCCTGATCCTGAACATTGAATGCACTTCATTCTTCACACCACTAGAGGGGGGCATTATTCTGCAAGTAAAGAGCTCAACAACAACAACCCGCCCTGCTGAAGTGCCCTTAAGCAAGACAACTGAACTCCTTTTGTTCCAGAGACAGCAAATATCACACAGTCAGAACAGACTGACAATAACCTTCTAAAACTACACAAAGTTAAATAAGAATTTCTTTCTGGATGATTCAATTGAAATACATAATTAGAAAAAAATATATTATTTGAGTTTCATTTGTGTTCTTTTGTAAGAGTGATTAAAAAAGCTGCTATTAGTTTCACAAGAATCTATGAAAATGTCAGGTTACATTACAATAATGTGGCCAAAACAAATGAAATTCAATTAATACCACTAATAATGGTACAGGTTGTCTGGGATTTGACTGAAGATCCTATTCAGTCACTATTAAAGTGTCTTATCCAGTGCATGCTACATCCCAACACTCCTGTCTTTGCCCGCTTTGATCGTGCTGCAAAAATAGATGTTTCAGTGCTGAGGATGAGGAGGAGGCATGATGCTGCAAAAATGTAAAATCCCTGAGCAGGAGTGCCACTGCCAGTCACCATACGGCATTACTGTCACAGCACAGTGTCCCAATCAGCACAAACTACAGGTTTATCACACTGAGCTGGCTTTAGAGAGGCAGGATTTACTGAGGGTGGAGTGGGCTGGAGGTTTGTCTGGAGGTGTGTAGTAGGTGGAACAACATCTCTGATGGTCTGAGACCGAACAGTACAGTACAATATGGAGCAGATAGCAACAGGAGAAAAGAAACTATGGATGGATTGTTAAAACTGAAAATAAATTAATTAGATGTTTAGCTGGTGCAGCAAATGATACTCTGATGAAGAAAGAATTGAAATTGTTGAAGAGAGTAAGAATAACAGTTTAGCTGCTAATGACAGAAAACCCCAAACATCAAATAACAAAGAATCAGACTCAAGTCAGGTTATTTTGATGCTCCGAAGTGTAAACACGTAAACAACAACACTTACATCTTAACTGTAATTTTTTTAAAAAAAACAAACAAGACACAAAGTAGCTCTGCTGAATGGTGACTACTGCCTACGACAGTTAGCACTGTTAGCAAGAACTGTTGTCTCTAGTCTTAATGAAAGCTAACCTACCTACTTTTCTAGGAATTGAAACCCTGCTGTGCTGTGACAAACTCGGAACACGTTTGTTTAAGCTTTACACAGTCTTTAAATCATAACAAAGAGAAAAAAATCATCAAACAAAATAGTCCTGCTAAATGCTAACTAGCCTGTCAAGCTAGCAGAGTAGCAGTTATTGCCATTTCTGCAGCCACACGACTGAAATTCATATGATTTATGCGGTTAAGCTGCCTTCAAATATCATATTTAAATGTATTTAATTAAAGATTCTATATACTTATTTTCAGTTGTCCAAACATAAAGCCTAACATTATAGTATCTGAGTATTTTTAGGCTTCATGCAAGGTCTAATAATAGAATTAAAGACATAAAATTAAGGTTTTACAGTGTGACTAAGAGCCTTTAATCTTTAAACCGTTCCTGCTTTGTTTCTGCTGCTCTCGGTATAGAAGCTGCAGATAAATATTCTTGTGTCCTGGAGTGGCCTATAGCCCGCAATACACAACAGTCACAAAACAAAGAGGTTTGGGTCGAGATATAAAACAAATCCCATGTTACATCTTTTGCTTTAGCTTCAGTGTAAATGTGTTAGAATGAAATAAAAAGGACTCTTTAGCCCCTGCAAGCTAAACCAGTTCATTTGTATTCCTGCAGTCAGGCCATTTTTCTGCTCGCTGCAGTTATGTGACGACCAAAGAGGAGTGTTTCTGAGCAAAGATTTCTGTGGAAACTGTTGCCATGCAACAGCACAATACTGCGTTCATACAGACTAGTAACTTCACTGTATGACTGCTCTTTTTCCCTCAACACACACCGCCTGAGTAGTAATGCAGCATCCTGGTCTATTCCATTCTGTTCTCTTCTATTCTGTTCTACTGTATTTGCAAACGCATAATAGAGCCTTTATGGTGCGGCTGTAACTGTGGTGTCATTGTTTCATCGCCGGTCAGAGGAAACTTTGCTTCAGCGTCTACCTCCACACCCAGACTCCCTCGAGTTTCCACATTCAGAGCCAGCTACAGTCGAGCTTCAACACACTAACCCTTGGCTCTCGCTGTTAACCCCGTACTGCCGTCGCCAGGCCACCCCATTGAGCCTCCACGTCACCGGCCCCTCTCCGGCTCCTTATTCACCACGACTGACCCCGCTGGCCCGCTGACAACTGAACTGTACATCCCCTCCAGGCTGCAAAGTGGAGGGAGGCTTTTTCTTTTCTTTTTTTTAAACATTTCTTTTTTTTTTTTTGCGACTTCTTCCTCTTCCCTCCACTGTGGGGAATCCCCTGTGCCCACATACTGTACATAATGAGTCACCAGCTCAGACATGAGGCAGACCCACAAACACTGCAAGGTATAATTTGTCAACCAGTTGGCACCTGAGGAGCTAATTGTAAAACAAAGCGTGACAGGCGAGACACTGTAAAGGTAAAGGAATACGAATCAGTCCAGGAGGCAGAAACAGCACCAGAAATACAAAGCACAGAACAGTCAAAATGACATAATTACATGTTAAAGGGAACAGTTTTGATCAAATCCAGTCACAATATCTAAAGTCTGTGTTTTAATTATCGTGTTCCAAAATAGATCTTACAAATAATGTGCAGATTTACACCACAGCGGTGATTTCATTCTCACATTTTACTGTGTAAAAAACATCCAAGACGAGCAAAAAAAAAAAAATCACTTACCGATGCAGACGCGGTTAAATTTAGCCCCATAGATGCACAGATTGTTTCACCGTGTGTGGCCTCCTCGCTGCAGACTCCATCCTGGTCAGCGCTCTGTCAGAGGTCACTCACAGAGGTCAGATAGGTCACCTCCTCTGACAGCGAGCTGACTGCGGCGGATCGTCCTGCTCTACAATATGGCGAGCTGTTTCAATGCTAAGGCTGGATATGTACTGCAGATATCCATGATTCAATTCTTTGTAGTTGAAAAGAACATTTCAGATTTTCATGACGTCTCTTTTACCATTTGGTGCTTATGCAGTTTCTCATCACAGTTCGCAATTCACTTTGCTGATATGCAACTGAATTCATAATTTAATTTGAAATACCTTCAATTTACCGCTATGCAAGATATCTCCATGATCCTTTTTTAATTACAGTGATGCAGTGAAGCTGTAAGCATCTCAAACTGGAACTAAGACGAACCAGAATGTAATTACAGATATGTGAATTAGAGTTTTGACCGGGGAAAACGACATCGCCGATATCAGTAATCCAATTCTTTGTAGTCAAACAGAACATTTCAGTTATCCACAATGTCATATTTCCTATCTGTAATCAATTCAGATATCCATGACATCACCTTTAGCATTTGTGCGTATTGGGTTTCTCATTACAGATGATCGGCTGGTGTTATTTTTAGTTTTAGATATCTACAGTTTAATTCTGGTTAACCATAATTCCAGTTCAAGATATCCTTAATTCCCGTCAATTCAAGATATCGGCATTGTCCCTTTTTAATTACTTCCGTTAAGCTCGAGTAATGACGTTGCAGGCATCTCAAACTGTAATTATGAATTGTCAGAATGTAAATACAGATATCATGAGTTAAAGTTTTGACTGCTAAAAATTACATTGCAGATATCTGTAATTACGTACCAGAGGCCAAAGCAACTTGATTTTCAAACATGCTAGGGCACGATGGCAAGCCGAGTTTGACTATCCAGGATTGAAATTACAGATATCGGCATCATTTTGACAGGTCATGCTTGAAAAAAGTGTGACTAGTCATAAGTTTTATTCATCTACATTGGTTGAGAAATCTGCAGCTTAGCTTTAACTAGTGAAAATCATCATTGCAGATATCTCAAATGTCAACATGGCTTGTCCAGATTGTCCATGCAAAGCTCCCCATAGGACCTCAGCCCAGCAAAGCGTTTGAACAGTGTTAGCAGAAGTAGCAGCGGTTGCTGTGGTGGATAAGATTGATAGAAAATGCCATGAAATAGCACAAGCTCATCAATAAGGAGTTTGTGGAGAACAAGAGCTTTGTTCGTTTGAGACTTGTGGTCGAAATTAATTAGATGCTGCTCCGTGGCGGTAAAGCAGCTTGTCTCGCTATATGTGGTTATGGTTGCAGTGCTATAGTATGTTTAGATTTGTGGAGCGTAACTGTAGATATCTGTAATAGAAAAGCCTACACTTGAATGGTGGAAATCATTTGTCCAATAAAGATGGACGATGTGGATATCTAAGGAATTCTTAATGACTCGGAGAGAGTTCAAACATCAGCTACATCTTCAATCATAATGAAGAGAAAGAAATACTACGTAATATAAACTTGCAAAATACTTAACGACTAAGCTAATCCTAATTTAATGTCTTTTTTTGAGATTTAAAAGTCTGTATTGATGCTTCCAAACCTTTGCTGTTGAGTTTTTACAGTGCATCAATCCTAACAGAGAGAAAGGAACACCAGCTCAAGGTGCCTTTAGCTAAAGCCACTTTACTTTAAAAATTATAACTTTGAAAGAAGATCCAAAGTTTGAATAATGAAGTTTAAGCACACGTGTTATTTAAATGGCCGTGATCCTCCTGCAACGGGAGGCCTTAACAGAACATGTGGAGTGATGTAACCATGAGAAAGGGAGGGAG